TATAAGCGCCGCTAATAATAAGGCTAAACCGATGGGAATGAGAGGTTTCGGTACATTTAAGTTCTTGGAGTCAATCAAACACATGATTCCGAATTGAAGTAAAGCCACTGATATTATCTGTGAATCACAAGTTAACCTAAAGTTAGTTTTGTTATTAAATTTATTATAACTTATAATTTATAAGATAGATATTAATAGTGATTACTTGATCGCAAAGGGCTCCCCACGCCGTCAAGTATAGTGTCGGGTGTGTTGTCATCAGTCCTATTATAGAAGTGTTATATGGATTACATTTAAGTGTAATGATTGTTAAAGACATGATACAAGACCTGCAGTACTGGTGGCGTTGAAAAATGCCGACCGAACTCCTCCATCGAAATCATTAATTGCATTGTAAAAGTTGAGGTATACTATGATTAAGGTATTTAAGTATCGATGTATTGGCAACTGTTTGTGTATTGAGATATACCGAGAATAGATGCGACTAAACCTCCCAAATATTGGGCCACAAAATAATGGGGAACTTTTCTGTTGTGTCAATAAATATGAAAATGTTTAGTTTAATTTGGGTTTAGATTTGTGTAACTTTCAATAGAAGGACCTCCATGGAAACTTGCCCAGTGTTGCCACCGCTATTCATTAAAATTTTGTTTTTAATTAATTATTATATAAATAAAATATGATAAATTATACCTAATGTGACCACAGGGTTGACGTGTCCTCCTATATAAAAGTTGAATGTTTTAATATACTTTAAAATAGATATGCAACTTATTTTCCCTGTTAGAGGGATTCCACGGGGATTCCCTGTTCCCTGTACAGGGAAATAACAGGGCAGGGAAATGAGATTCAATGAACAGGGCAGGGACAGGGAATCGCTGTAACCCTTAGAGGGAATCCCTGTAACAACATTTCCCTCTAATTTCCCTGTAATACAGAAAGTGAGTGATAATTGTGTTAATAGTTGTGATAAATTTTCTATTACAAAAGGGTTGTAATACAGTTAAATTGTTATAATAGAGTTTTATTTTAAGTTTATTTATTAAAATAATGAAATATAATGAATAAATAAACGTTTTTATAAGATATATCTATTTAAAAATTTTTACAGGGAAATTACAGGGAATCCCCGGGGTTCCCTGTTAGCCTCTACAGGGCAGGGCAGGGAAGGGATTCCCTCTAAACAAAAATTACAGGGAACAGGGCAGGGCAGGGAAATGAAAAATGGAAAAAGTTGCATGTCTACTTTAAAAGTTTAAGTATTCACTATAAATGTCTGACCGGAAACTTTTGCTCCCAAATAAGCGGCGATCATAAGTCCTACTCCTGTCGCGATTCCTACAGAATTCTTTTCATACGAAATGAATTTTCATATTAACTATTGTTTAATAGTTTATAATATATATTAAATAAGTACTAAATCGAGATGTGGTCGATGGCCGAGAACTTGAACAGCGATTGAACAGTTGCACATAATCTGCAATTATTGGTTTGCATTGTCGGTCATATTTTTAAATTACATTACAATTTCAATACTCACCACAAGAATGAAGGTTCCTATAAATTCAGACATCATTTCTCTTATGATCACATTTTTAGTCCTTAGAGACCCGAGAAGTACTCTTTTGTCTGACATTTTTGCAAACTATGAATTGCCCTAAACTATAGTTTTAACGGAATAAATGATATGTAATTATTAAATTAAATCATAAATCATTAGAACTGTATTTTGATTTAATA